TTTTCTTACTCTCTCTCTCTCTCTCTCTCTCTCCGTTCACTACGTGGTGGACCCGCGGTGGACCACGCATCGATGTCCCTCGCTCGAAAACCCATTACAATTATCTTGGAACCGAGGCCAAGGGGCCAACGATTCTCTCCCTCGGAAATTTCGCGACGAATCTCTCGAAAAAGGGGGAGAGGGGGATAAGTGGTGGAATCGAAAGGAAAAAGCGAAATCTCGAGGAAGTCGTTTGGTCCCGAGGGCGAGAGAAGAGACCGGCGAGGGGAAAAATCGGCGGCGGCGGTGGTGGATCGGATTCCAGGAACGAGAGCGAGATAGCGACGCGTCTCATTAAATCAGAACTGCATTCCACGGGCGTGTACACTCCCACGGCCGTTCGATGGGGTTCTACTTCGATCACCGTCCACGGCACCATAGGTAGGATGTAGCCCGTGTATACGACACGCTGCGAGACACGGATTTCTCTCCCCCCTCCGGGTACACGGAGCCGCAACCGGACGATTTATACGTCTAACTCGTGTCTTTCTCGAAATTTAGGGGCCCGCTAATCCTCGCCGGTCGCCGTTCCACCGTTTTCCAGTTTCTTCCATTTCTTCTCTTCCTTCTTCTTTCTTTTCCTTCCCTTCTCTCTCTCTTTCCTTCTTGCTTGCTTGCTTTCGTTTTTTTTTTTCCTTTGTTTCGCTCGCGCTCGACGATCGATCGGTGGAAAGAGAGACGTCGTCCCCCGCCACGTTCTCGTCACGCGAGGCGAAGAGTCGCAGCCTCTAATTGGAATATCCAATTAACGCGCGGACAATCGGCGAATCGATTAGAAATCAGCGTGATTATGACGCTTCGGTGGACCGAGGCGGAGGGACAGCACCGAGATAGCACCGCTCGGGCCGAGATTTTTATCTCGACCCATCTTTCATTATTAAAATGAAACTAAATACCGAAGATGCGAGTCTAACGACCAACGAACGGGCCCCCTTCCGCCAGTGGTGCTTCTTCCCTGCCCTGAATAATCCGCTCCTCGCGGATCTCTTTCTTTCTATTTTTCTCTGTACCACGAAATTGTTTTTATTCGCGAAATCGTTTTTACGCGCGAAACAACGATCGCAACGAATCAAAGTTATCTGTATGCTCATGTTCGTAATAATCGAAGAATACGGCGAAGAATACCGTCGAAGAAATCGACGAAAAAAATCTGGGCCGGAATATATTATACGATCGTATCGCGACGAGAAACAAAAGAAAGAGAAAAGATGGAAGGCGCGCGAAATTGGCCGCGTATCTCTCACGCGGTGAAAATTTCATCGCATCCCTGACAAGTTTTGACAACCGCTGAGGAGAGAGGTCTCGGTCGGTCGATCGGTCGGTCGGTCGGTCGGTCGGTGGATGGACGAATCCCAGAGAACGTCGTTCCGCGGCGGGCCCCGGGATGATCGATGAGAAGGGCTGACCTACCAGTCGTCCCGGGGAACTCATCTTTAAACGCGCTCTGTCCGCTCCATTCGATATAATTATTTTACGTATGCGCGGAACGGCGCACAACATCGTTCCGACTTTCGGCACACGTCAAATCCGGCGTCACGCTCTACCTGCCTCTAATTGATCGACCCACGATCGCCACGTCCGACTTTATCGATCGACGCTTAGGCGCATCCTATCTCACCTTCGTCCTTCTCGTTGTCGTCGTCCAGGTCCTCGGACAGATTGTCGTCCTCCTCCTCGTCGTCTTGGGAACGGTGCGACGCCTCTGCCTCGCTTCCGGAGTGCTCGCCCACGCTTCCGCTTCCCGCCGTCTTGGACAGGTTGAGCACGGGACTGTGCCCGTTCGAGGAACCTGTCGACACGATTCTTTCGTCAATCTATCGCCTATGTCTATGTGTACAAGTGTGTGTGTGTGCGCGCGCGCGCATGCGTGTATCGATCGGATCGAACGATAACCGAAACCATATTCTCGCGCGATTCTCCCGTTCTTCTTCCCTTCGAGAATGGAATACGTAGAATACGACAAGGATTGATGGATATTATTTGCACCCGTGCAAATCTTTCGTTTCGTTTCTTCTCGTATCGAGCGAAGAGGAGGAAGAAGGGAGAGAAGAAGGAGGAGGAGGAGGAGGAGGAGGAGGAGGAGGAGGAGAAGGCCACCATCGCCACCGCTCCCTCCCTTCTTCCTTCCTATCATTGTTTCGTATCCGAGGCATTTTAATCCTGACGTGGATAGATATTGTTCGATCGGTCGTGTTTCGAACGGATATTCGTGAATCGAAAGATGACCGCGGTCGATTAAGCACACCGCTCCCCTCCCAGTTGGTCGGTCGTCGAAATCCTCGAAGAAGAAGAAGAAGAAGAAGAAGCGGGAGTTCCGTGGGGTCCGGGATCGGATTCGAACTCGAAAAAACGTCGGGATTGTGTCGCCCCCGGTCCAGTTTGCGCGCACTCGCCACCGGGATAAAAGGTTCGATCGAACGGATTAAAATATTACGGGGAATGAGAAGAAAGGCGGCGCGTTCGGTGGTGCCCCGTAACCCGATATCGGACTTAATCTCTCTCCGAACCCGCCTAAACGCTCGGCCGGGCCAGAGAAATAAAGAAATCGAGAAAGGGACCGGGACACGCTCGGTTAACTCGTCCTTCCTCCTTTTCAGGCCTGGCCTCGAGCGAGAACGAGCTTCTCTTCTCTTCTCTTCGTCCCGTGATCCCCGTGAAAAACACCACCTCCCTCCCCCCCCCCTTCGAGGAGAACTCGTTCGAATCGAATTGAAAATCGTTGCGAATCCGTGAAGGGAATTGCGTAGGTGAAGGAAAGTGTACTAAAAAAATCTCCTTCTCCTTCTTCTTCTTCTTCTTCTTCGAAGAGGGCAAGAATAAAAAGAAGAAGAAGAAGAAAAAGAAGAGGATTCGTCGTAATCGCTCGACCCGATAATACGCGTTATTCGCCGTATTATCGGCCGATTACCGTAATTACGGTAAAACGAGCGTACGCGTATTTATCTTACCATTGTGCGAGCTCAGATCCCTGGGTTTTTGGTCCAACGCGAGTGCCCTCTCGGCGTCTCCTCTCTCCTCGCGGAGCCTGGAATCAGCAAATCAGACGGGGGGCAAATGTTTAGTATCGATTCGATCGACGCGAATCGGGGCGAGCGCGGAGGTGGACTCTCGCTGCTCCCCCCCTCCCCCCCATTAATTAAATAATTATTCCAGTCTTGGACCAACCCGGGTCGCGTAGGAAGATAAGTGCCGGTCTCTCTGTGTCGGCCGCGCGTTCCATCCGATTATCGCCGTTAATCGATTCGCCTCTTTTCCCTTTTTTTCCCCTCTCCCCCTCCTCCCCCTTGCGGAGCTGTCGCGCATCGCCTCGAGGCGTTACGCGCGTTCTCGCGTAAAACCGGCCCCCTCCCCCCCTCTCTC